TTGAGGAAAAAAAAAAAAAAAAAAAAAAAAAAAAATAAAACAACAAAAAAAAAAAAAAAAAGGGCCCGGGAAAAAAAAAAAAAAAAAAAAAAAAAAAAAAAAAAAAAAAAAAAAAAAAAAAAAAAAAAGAGAAAAGAGTACTGCTCTTGGGTCCTGACTTCTTCTAAGCCTATGACCTGTCCCGGCAAGGTTGCTGGCCGAGGGGTTGCTGGCCGAGGGTTCAGGATTTAGTGGTTGAGAGTGTGCCAGTTTAGGGGGAAGGGTCAGAATGGTTTAGAGTAGACCCCCAAACCCTAGACCCTCAGCCCTAAATCCAAAGTCAGGGTTGCGGGTTCAGGGCAGATTACCATAAAAAATAGATAACTTTGGGCCCTAAACCCGCAGCCCTGAACCCTAGACCCTCAGCCCTAAACCCAAAGTCCCCTCAGGGTTTAGGGGGAGGGTTCAGGGTTTAAGGGGAAAGGTCAGAATTTGTTTTAGAGTAAACCCCAAAACCCTGGGTCCTAAACCCTCAGCCCTAAATCCAAAGTCCCCAGCCGTAGACCTCAGAACCCTGGGCCCCAAAACCATCAGTCCGAAACCTCAAACCCAAGAACCCTGTGCCCTAAACCCCGAAGCCGTTGGCCCTAGACCCCACAACCCCGGGCGGGGTTAAGAAATCGTTGATGTCAGCTTAGGGCTAAGAATTGCGGACTTAGGGATCTGCTGCTCGATGGTTCAGCCTGAGAGTTTTGGGTTTAAAATGTCAGCACACACCCCCAGCCTTGCAAGATTCTCTTCGTCACTTGCTCCTAACATTTCGGAGGCTCGGGTCCACCGCACCGCAATGGCTAGCAGCGCCGGCCGAAAAATCAAAAAAGTGCACCGCTGGCGATTTAGCAAAGCTTGGCGGCCAGCGCAGCGCCAGCAGGCCCTACTGTCCTGGTGAGTATACATATATATATAGTCCAACAGAGCTGCCCGGTAAACCGTAGGCAGCGAGGGAGAAGAGGACAACAAACGAGGGGCTGCGCCAAACTGTTTCGTCGGAGTTTCACCGACTCATCAGGAGCCTGAACCCTCAACGGTCTGCAGAATCCCCTAACTGATTACACTGTAAGTGATAATCCACCTTACCCCCGCTGTGGTTAAGCATCAACGACTGTCCGACAACTGATACCCTGATGTGGGCACCAACCACTGCCCTCAAGGTACCTATAACGACACCCATGCCTCCCATCACTTTAGATTGATTCCTTTCAATAAAATATGAATATATAAACATTGATACATAAAATATCACTTAAATGAATGAATATGTACATATCATGAATGAATATATTTTTTAATTGAAGATAATTTGATCAATCAAGAAGTATTGAATCAATACACCAGATGGAAAAATATACATGTATTACCTAATATTTTATTGAATATTTTTGCCAATGCATAAAAATCAAAACCGCAGCACTTTTCGGTGCACCATGCAAGTGCACTGCAATTTTCGCCACACGGATACAGAAAAATAGTAAAAAATTAAAATAAATAAATAAATAAAAATTTCCCCATGCATTTCACACCAGAGAAGACTTTCCCGAAGGGACCCGGGAGCGCTGACGCCCATCGACAGCACCATACCATCCTCTGCCTCCCTGCGCTTGAATTTTGGACTCGAGAACCTGTAACGGCTGCAAGGAGCGCCAGTCAAGTCCTGTAGTGCCTCGAGTGGCGATCCACTTTGTAATTGCTCGTACGACCCATGGAGCTTCGCATAAGCTTTCTCCAGAAGCGGCACCCACAGATGATTTGTCATTCCATGACCTGATTCACCCAAGGCAGCCAAGTACACCAGAAAAAAAAGAGAAAGAGAGAAAAAAAGACACCGAAAGAGAAAAAAGACATCGAAAAAGAAAAAGAAAAACAAAAACAAAAAACGAACATGATTAGATTCCTTACCAACCCAAAAAAATTAACAATTAAAAAAATTACAAAAACAAATCATTAGCACCTAGGGTACCAGAGTGACTACTACGGTTCTCTGTGTGCACTTGACGTATGCTCTGGTGTGCATTGGATGTATGCATTGCGACTTGCGTGTCAACTTTGCTTCCTTTTGCTACCAGAATGGCCCGGGAGGGGCCGGGACCACTTACCCGGCCGGGTCATTAAAAAATATTAAAATAATAATAATTATTATCATTATATAATACATATATATCGTCACATATATATCGTCAAATAGATTTGGTTAAGATTTTGGATGTGACCCTGAGGCAAAACTCGTTCAGTTTATACCATACTTGCAAGCACACGTCGTGCAGGCGGTTCCCTACGTGCGGCACACGTGCCCAACCGATCCCGTGTGGTGCACGACGTGTGCGGGGAACGATCCGTCACCCCCTCAGGAAAAAAATAAAAGAGGCCCGGGTCGAAACGGTGCATTTGAGGCCCCCCGCCAAAATTATAAGCGAGATGAAAAAAAAAATTACAGGAGTACTGCCTCACCTTGCTCCTCCCCTTCCCCGTCCTCCATGTCTCCTCCTTTCTCCTTTTCGTCTCCTCCTCCTCCTCCTCCTCCTGTTCATCCTCCACCTCCTGCCCTTCCTCATCCTCCTTGTCTCCTCCTCCTCCTCGTACTTCCTCATCTTCCATCACTTCCTCATGTCCTCCCCTTCCTCGCCATCCATGTCTTCTCCTCCTCCCACTCGTCCTCATCCTGCCCTTCCTCTTTTCCCTCCGTCCATCTCTTCTCCTCCCCCATCTTGACTCCTCCTCCTCGTCGTCCTCCTCGCCCACATCCGCCGCCTCCTCTCCATATCCCCCTCTCCTCGCCATATCCCCATTTTCCTGTCATATGCCCCCCCGTTTCCCCTCCCCAAAAAAGATCAAATAATAATAATAAAAATAAAAAACCTGCACGATTCCGCACAGGCACCCCCCGCACGGAACTCCACACGAATGTGCGGCTCGTGCGGTTGCAAGTATGGTTTAATACGTTTATACCTTTCTCAGCCTTTTGGCTAAGATCAAGTGCAGTATCTGTTCTGATCAGTTTAACGGCTGGGGCGCCCGGGAAAACAAAGTGACCCCGGGCGGCCCGGCTGGTAGCCTAGATTAGCACACAATCAGAGAGAGAAACAAAGATGAAAGAACACAGTTGGAGTTTGTAATAAGATCACCAGGTTGCCCCCTTCTTTAAAGAAGAAAAAAAAATCAAAACGTTTTCGGGCTTTTATGAAGTTTTATCACCCCAAAAAATTATATGTGCAAGGAAACTGAGCGATAGCGAAATGACAGAAATCCAGAGTGCAAAATCACATTGAAAGCCAGCAAGTCCAACGCTGTTCAGAAAGCAGAAATGCACCGATATTCCACCAACGGAGAACCAAATCACAGAATCCGAATGTCAATGAGAGCATGGTAGCATACTCTCGTCATCACCAACATATGTATCCGGAGCCCTTCCTCCTACTTGGCGCTCGGTGCCCAGCGTACAATCACACAGCTACTAGCAGCCTACAAATTGACAATGCATCCCGTTGACATCTGCAGCAGCAACAACCGAAGTACATGAAGATGTCGCCCTTGTAGACCATCACCAAGACCAGGTACGTGCCGTCACATCATCAACCTCATCTCTCTCTCCCCCTCACCCTCGACTTCGTCACCCACGTCTTCTCCCTCATACACAAAAACCACCACCACCTCCACTGGCTATGTCAAGCCCAATCCCGGCTATGTGGGCTGGGCTATGGCAGCGCCCTTTTCCTCTCGAAAATGCCCGCACGCGACTGCACCTCACGCTAGTGCAGCAACCACGAGTACACACCCCAGCAGCGCTGCCGCTCGCAAGTGCAAGTGCCCGATCCCCGCCTCTGAGCCCTGCCCTTTCCTATATGGAAAGTGGCGGGAGCTTTCCTTTGCTTCCCACGTGAGACCGAGTTTTTCCAGCAGCTCCAGCCTCGGCCAAAGTGTCTGCGCCCAGGCCCGTTCAGACAGTGGCCTGGGACCGAATTGGTTAGGCATGCCCAGCCACTACCCAGGCACAAACGTGCAATGCTCTCTGCTTCGTCCGCGTTGCTGGAAGAGCCTGGACGGCTCACGAATATTGTGGATTCTCACAAGCAAGGCGGATGTAACCAACTGGCACGAGGCAACTGTCTGGCGCCGACCAAGATTTGCAAAAATTGACGAACTCAGGAGCCCGCCTTCACTTGGGGCGGGCACGTTTCTGATGTAGGGCCCGCTTATGCGGTTATGCCGAGGGATCAAACCCTCACATATGGAGCAATTCTCAGATCATGCTCGTGGTTCTTGCACAGTGTCCAACTGAAGGGGGAACAGCAGCCACGATCAAACTCCACAGCCAGACGGAGTCGAACCGGTGACCTCGGCCGTATAAGCCGAATGGATGCCTTTACCGGTCGTCGTGACATTCAGCCCTCCCCAGCACAGTTGCAGCAAGGTTTTATACTATAGCAGCATGGATGTTGCACCGAGCTATAGTGTATAGCTCGTCGCGACATCCGTGAGATCCTTCGCAGTGGCCATGCTAACTTGCTCGTCGTGACATCCGTGAGATCCTTCGCAGTGGCCATGCTAACTTGCTAAGTGAATAGATGATTCCTCCCCCCCCCCCCCTTTTTCTGGAGCTAAGTTTTTCTCAATTTGTGCTTCCTATAGTTCTTGCAGAGGCACTGTGCACATTCCAACATGCAAAGGTGGAATTTTGAAAAAGTGAAAAAATATTTTTGTTTTGTAATGCAATTCAAAGGTGGATGGTCCCCAGAAAAAAAAAAACTTGCTAAAAAAGAAGGTGCACTAACTGCCACTAAGGAAAACTTCTCAAAAACTTAGAAAAACCTGAAAACTCAGAAAAAGGGTATTTTGGACTATTTAGTATTTCCTAGTACCCCCTCTTTTTTTTCTTTGTACCCCCTCTTTTTTTTTCTTTTTTTTTTTTGTCTGGAGTTCTTTCAAACTCCCACAAAAAAAAAAGATTCAGTATCGTGTGGTTGGTTGCACCACGGATGAGATATGGAACTCATCAGTTGAGATACTCCACTTGATCTCAGCCAAAAGGATGAAAAAGTGTAATTACTTAGTGCCCCTTTTTTTAATGAAGGCGCTTTTTTAAAGTTTTTGAAGAGTTGTGGAAGTGGCATATGTTGTCAGTAAATAACACACACGTAAGGTTCAGACCCAGGGTCTAGGGTTTAATCCTGCTGGATATCAACATCCATTTCAAATGTTTTTTTCTTATAATTAAATTCAAATGCATTCATTGCAGATATCAAAGAGATTCTGGAAACAATAATTCCAAAATCTCTTTGATATCTGCAATGAATGCATTTGGATTTAATAAAAAAAAAAAAAAAAACATTTCAAATGGAAGTTGATATCCGGCAGGATTAAACCCTAGACTCTGGGCCTGAACCTTACGTGCACGTTATTTAATGACAACACGTGCGACTACAATACCACTTCCATGGCATTTCAAAAACTTAAAAAAGAACCTTCATTAAAAAAGGGGCATTAAGTACACTTTTTGGGCCTAATTCCAAAAATATGAGAGTGCCCCAAAATGGTAATGTAGTTCAAAAGGACAGGGTTTTCGATTGAACAACATAGTAACATGCATCTTTTTTGTTTTTTTTTTCCGGTTTTTTTTTTTTTTTTTTTAAACACATTTTTTTCAGTAGTGAAATAAGCTAGGCGACCAGTCAGGCCACCCGGGTCACCTTGTTTTCCCAGGCGGTTCAGCTGTGCAAGGACTTCCGGACCAGTGTCTCGACCGGTCCAGACTGTCCGGTTATCTGGACATTACTGGACACCCGGACATCACCGGACCCGGACAGTCCGGACCGGTACGACGGG